ATGACCTTGAATGAAGATCAGTGTGGAAAACATTGACATCTTTCATAACATTAAGAATTCCAGTGCATGACCAAAGTATACCCCTCCTTTAGTTTAGGTCTTTCAAAATTGTTTTTCTTTCCAAGTGTTGTTTTCTTGACAAATCATTATGCATAGGATTTGCTAAATATATAGAATACATTACTTGTAATTTTATTCTAGACTTATCAGTAAACATTAATAAGAAACTCATGGAAAACTTGTGGCATGACAGCTTTGTCATTATTGGTTAGACACAAACTTCTTAAACAGGACACAAAAAAAATCAAAGCCAGGTGTGGCTGTACGCTCCTGTAATCTGACCCTCTTTATCCCTCAGTTATCGAAGCTTACTCAGTTTGTGAGCCTTAGATGCCCTCAGTGCCAGTTGGTGAACCCAAAGCGATTGTAACAAATGGAAACCACTCGTTATCATGGGACTATGCCTGGAGAACTTTGGGAAGTTCTCCCAAAGTTACAAAAATAGTGAAGCCTGGACTTCAAGGGTATAAGTACTTTCACTGGATGGGTCAAAGCCTTTCGCACTAAATCTGAGTCAGCTCTGATAAGTCAAAAAGCTTTTATATGAGGTTGTCCCATGATCCAGCCTCCCTTTATCTATGAGGTCCAACAATGGCCTGGCTTTTATAGCCCAGATAACTCAAAAACTAACCCAAGCTTTGCAGATTGATTGGAAACTCCATTGTGCTTACCGGCCTCAAAGTTCAGGACAAGTAGAAAGGATAAATCAGACCTTAAGAACGGCAATAACTAAGATGGCATTGGAAACTGGTGAGAACTAGGTAAGTCTCCTTCCTTTTGCCCTCTTGCGTGTGTGATTTACCCCCTATGTTGCAGGTGTTTCCCCTTTTGAAGCTCTATATGGAAGACTTCCTCCTCTCATTCCTAAGATTTCTGAGGAAAATCTAGTTGATCTAGCTAACCAAGATCTTGTTAAGTATCTCCAGGACCTTCATCTAGTTCTGACTTCCATCCACTGGTTATTCCAACAACAACATCCTCTGCCTGCAGCCCATCCCCAGGAAGAATGTCCTGCAGTGGAACCTGGCACATTAGTCCTCATCAAGAGACATCACTGTGAATCCCTTGAACCACAGTGGGAAGGCCCCTATACCGTGGTCCTCAGCACTCCGACTGCCGTCAAAGTTGCTGGAAAGCATGCCTGGAGGTTCATCATTCCCACTTCAAGCCAGTTCCAGCCTCCAACAGTGATCAACCTACAGATAAGTGGACTGCTGTTCCCTCCAAGGATTCTTTAAAGCTTAAAATTGGCAAATGTATCCGATAATCTTGTTCTTATGTGTTCTTCCTTATGGAGACCGCAAGGAGATACTTCATAATCCACTGCTTGAAACTTGGAAAATTAGTATTTCACTGGTGAATTATTGATAGCCAACGTTACTGTCTATGGGATAATTGAGATAGATTCATGTGACCTATTAAATAACATCCCAGCAAAAATTAGACAGAAGAGAACATTGTTTGGTCCACATGCCATGCTGATGATTAGTTGCTAATGGAGTCTTGCAGGGACCTACATAGTCAAAAGAAATTACAGTCCACTGGCTGGTATATTTGCCCCTAAAAGCAATAGCCAGCCTTGATCACACTAGTAGGTGTTCACAGTCCATAGAGACAGAATATTTTTGTAGACATTGGGGTTGTGAATCTATATCTCCTTGGCAGGGAAACAAAGGGAATCATTACCTTTTGCTCACTCGGGAGACTCCATCTTCCTGCACCCTCAACCAGTGTAATCTTATGACTTTCAGACCCAAAATCCCAACTGATCCTGTTTGGAAAGCAGGATTATATTATGGTATTAGGTTATGGGTCTCCATATATGACCCGGGAAGCGCCTTTTACCATTCAGTTCATTCCTCGGCCTGTTCAGACAGCCCCCACCAGACCCATAGGCCCTCAGGCTCCCTACCACCTCAATCTCTTACTGTCACTCATCTTCCACCCCCCTCCACTAGACTTCCTGCTCCTGAGACCTTTTTTCCCTCTGCCATTTCTGCGCCATCCCTAGACCCCTTTTTGCCTCTGGACATTGCTTACCAGTTTCTCAATCTTAGTGCCCCAAACCTCACTGCTTACTGCTGGCTATGCCTCCCATCTTGACCTCCCTTCTATATGGACACCCTGGTGACTATTATGGCAAATCAACTTTTAAATTCCCGTGAAGATGACACCACTTGTTGGTGGAGAGCTAGGCCCCTGCTCACACTGGACAGCATACAGGGTACTCCAGGAACCTGTGTTTACTCTGCCTCCTACTCCTTGCACACTTCCCCTTATGCTGTGTTCTGTAATCTTACCTCTTCAGCTTTGATTCATATTTTTTCCTATCCTGCTAATCAGCACCTTGTTGCTCCCAACGGAACCTGGTTTGCCTGTACTTCTGGTATAACTCCTTGTTCTATGCATCACCTGTTTACCCAGCGCCCTGAGCTTTGCATATTAGTCCATATCTTTCCCCAAGAGTACTGGTACTCTGGAGATAATGGTAAGAGTCATTTTTTTGTTCCCTAGCTTTGACTTTAAAGAGTCCAGTCTGATTAAATAAAAATCCCATATTCATACCTGTATTACTGGGAATTAAAATGGCAGGGTTAATAGGTTTAGGAGTGTCCAGCCTAATAGTTGGAGATCAAATTATAGACACTTTAGTGCACTCATCAACCAAGATCTAGCAGCTTTTAGTGATTCTATCTCCAAATTAGACAATTCTAAGTTCACTGGCTGAGATGGTTTTACAAAACTGGTGGGGTCTAGATCTCCTGTTCCTAAAGGAGACTTCTGTCTGGTCTTAAAAAAAATGTTGCTTGTATGCCAGTTATTCTGGGGTTATCTGACAAAGTATGGCCAGCCTTAAAAAGGTGGCTACAGGAATGAAAACAAGCCAGACAAGCTGAATAGAACTAGTTTGAACGATGGTTTGCTCTATCTCCCTGGTTAACAACATTAATCACAGCAGCCTCTGGACCTCTGTTAGTCTTACTTACTTGTTTAACAATTGGACCTTGCATTATAAACAAATTGGTAAATCATGTCAAAGATTGGGTTCAAACTATAAAACTCACGATTTTAAGGACACAAGGTTATGAACAGATATCTCTGTTTAAAAACTCCATGAGCCAATGATTTGGTTTACTGACAAAAATCAGTGGGGAATGTTGTGCTAGAAAAAAAAAAGCTAAAATGCAAAGTTAAAAAGATTGTTGTTAGAAAAAAGAGCTTTGTTATTCTCTGCAATGCTTATCACCCTAGTAACCATGTAACTGGAGCACTGACCACATAGTTAAACATTAACTGAAGCATCGCCATACTGTTCTGTATGTGTCATTACCTTAGTAACCTGTTTGTTGTGTCAACCTTTGTGAGAAACAAATGTTCCTGGAAGTAGCAAACCCACGACTGTAAATTAAGAAAAGAAAGGGCTAACCACCAACTGTGAAATGTCTCTGACCCCAAACAAAGGGGAACAAAGGCCTTCCACGTTCTTGCTCACTTCACATCACTCCTTCCTTTGTGGTTTAATCACTATAAAAATCTGTCAAAATTCTAACCCAGTTACACAGCTTTGCAAACTCCATCTGCACTGTGTCGCTGGTGCCAGCTTAAATAAAGTGTTCTTTTTCTTTTAAAAAAGATGCCTATCTCATTTTTCTTGAATAACATCTTGGGGCCTCATTTTTGGGGCATAATACCATATAAATTCCCAAAGTTTTTGAAAGGAAATGCTACTAAAATGTTGAACTCTTCCCAGTTAATTCCCCTTCTTCCCAGAAAATAATTTTAGCTTCCCAATATTTAGTTTTTCCCTTGCTCTCTCTCTCTTTCCTTTGTCCTCCTTTTTTCTTTTCCCTCTTTCCCTTTCTAAACACATACACACACACACACACACACACACACACACACGCACACACACACACACACACACACACAATTTGCTACAAACTAATGTTTTTCTTTCACTCAAAGGATACAACCTGTGAATTTGTATGGTCCTCTTCCAGCTTACTGAAAAAAATTCTTTGGGGATGAAGCCAAGAACATTGCATTTTAATATATTTTCTGGGTGATTCTTCTGCATGCTAGAGATAGAACTTAGAAGAAGGAATTAGAAGAGGAAAATGGGATTCAAGATTTTATACTCTAATCCTGGCATCACTATTAATATTTAAAATCCTTGTTTATTCACTGAGCCTAGGCCACTGCTGACCACCTCCTGGATTCCCATACTCGGCTAAAAGAAGGACCATCTGGTGTACTACTTGAGGCAATGTAAGGAACCCTTACCCTTCAACAATCACCCCCTTCATGTATTAATATGACAAGAATGCCCATGTACTTTCCCAAACAAACAGAAAAAAATCTCATCTCACCTACCATCTAGTCGGAAATTTTAGGTAACAATAATTTGGGAAGCAATAATTGGTACTCACAATGATATCTACAAGTTGCTATCAAAATTCAAGTTTGCAAGTGTTAAAGATATGATACTCAGTTGTGTTTTGATAGGCCTTGGTGCCTTAAGTTTGTCTAATCTGTTGCTTTTGGAAAATGTAAGATTTCAGACTGAGAGGGGACAAAAGCATTAGCATCTTTTAGATTGGTCGTGTGTGTGTATGTGTGAGAATGTCTGGTGATACTGTTAATGTAGTTGGAGAAAATATTTTGCTAAAACTGCCACTAAGGTACAGTTAAATACAAAGAGGACTCTGAAAAGAAAGAGATTGAGTAGGAGTGAAAACAACTTATAGCTAATGAGAGTAATTAAAGAAATGTATCAGGGAAGGTGAAATGATAACATAAAACATAACTAAAATGAGAACAGAACAACAAAACTAATTGTATCTAAAGGAGAAGATTAAACAGGATATGTCAGCACAATCGTGATTGGTTAGGAAAAGTCGCAGGGTTTGGAGAGCAGAGGGCGGAGGAATCAGCCCTACCTCTTCCAGCTGCACCAGCAGGGTGACATTGTGGCCTTGCTCTGCTGTCAGCTTCCCATCAGCGGTGAGGATCCGGAGCCCACGAGGGGCCTTGCCTGGACACTTCTGTGGTTTGGCAGTGTACTGCTCTCGCACTCCATCTGTGCAGTTATTGGAAACCACCTTTCTGTACCTACAGAAGAAGAGCTCAAGCTATAAACAGGCTCTTTCTACTGCAGATGACCCCCAAGTTTCTGAACCATATTTAGTACTCCGCCCCAGGACTACCACTGACCTCAGGACCACCCACTTTGCATGCTCCTGTGACGTTGACTGCTGTTTTGCAGCAAGCACCCGAAGAGAGAGGAGCATCAGGTAGCAGGCTGTTTCTATCATTAGCATTTTCACGAATTTTGTTATTCATATCATCAATTTAATCACTTTGGAGCCCTTGGACATGCACAGAATTGGAGCAAACTGTCTGCATCCTCACCAAGATGAAATCTAGTTGCAGAAGAACACATGAACAATGCTGAAGGTATTTGAGGATTGAGTGAGTAATAATATTGTCTCTTTTTAGTCTCCAGGAATTTTTCCAAGATGCTCAGGGAACTTCCAAAATTACTGATGGTACTGAACCCTATAAATACTAAGCTTTTTACTATATATACATACTATGGAAAGGTTTAATGTATAATATAGGCAGATTAAGAGGTTAATAAAAATAGCGCATAGTACAGCAATCAGAGCAATATACTGTAATGAAATTCATGAGCATGTGATCTCTTTTGCACATTATCTTCTTGACCTCTCCCTCCTTGTGATGATGTGAAATGGTACAAGTCTATGTAAAGAGGGGAAATCAAGTGAGTGGGAGAGCACTGCAATACAAACTCAGGAGAGACCTCAGCTCATTACTCCGGGACACAATCAGAAACTTCCGGATACTTTATTTCTAGAATTGTCCACTCAGTCCTTTCAGTCTGCCTTGACTGTGGGTAGCTGAAACTATTGAATGTAGGACTAAGTGTGGGGGAGGGACTGTGACAACCGCTATTTTATATAGTTCACCAGATTCACAGAGAATTACAATCTGTGACTCTAGGATACCAAGATTTAACAATTACGAGGTTCCCTGTTACCTATTCATTTTTTTTTCCTACGGGTCTGCAGTAACCACTTTATGTATTTATATATTTTATTTCCCAAATCCAATCAGCTAGAGTTAATTCCCTCTTTCTCCAAAAATAAGATCTGACTAGAAAATAATCTTAGAAATGAGAGATCGAAACTGCTGGCCCTCTCAGCCTGTGCTTGCCTGACCTGCTATCCCTATTGCCCCTCTTGGTGCCCACTCTATAACGCAGGAAGGTAAGGACAGGCTGCTTGGGGTTGGCAATTTTTGATCTCCAGTTTTCAAGACTGATTATTTTCTAGCTAGTTCTTATCTTTTGGGTAACACAATGGTAGCAGTAAAACTGGAGGCACTCAAAGCTCACGTCTTACTATCATAGACCAGAGGTTGGCAAATGTTTTACAGAAGAGTTAGATGCTAAAAGTTTAATTTGTAGACTTTGTATTCTCAACTACTCAACTCTGAAGCTCTACCAGGAAAGTAGACATAGACAGTCTGAGTAAAGCTAGCTTCCACTAAAACTTTGTTTACAGCTCCATCCCTGGAGTGGATTTGGTCTGCAGATAGTTTTCCAATCCACGACAATGCTCTTTCCTCTGATCCTGAGTGTCATGATTAACTACCTGAGTGCAGCTCTGAGAAAATCAAATGAGGCAGATGGTACATGGTCAGTCATTCACACTTCACACACCTCCCACGGGAGGTGCAGGTGCGGGGACACACGTGATTTAGAACTGCCTCATTGCTTAGCATGTGACGGTGAAATTTCACTGGTCACCATTATTTAATATCACCATCTTTCCTTCCTGTTTACAACCTTTTCACAGCTTTCACATGCTCTCAGGATAAGGTGTAAATCTCCTAATCCTTCACAGAAAGCCCTCCTCAAATCAACTTCATTCTGCTTTTCTGATCCCTTCTCCCCCAAAGCTCATTGTGTTCCAGTCGAATCTTTTTCTAATCCTTTTGAAAATACTTTTCTTTTGCTCTTTCTGCTTCTCTCTCCTTCTGCATGCACCATTAGTTGCCTAAAGCTTACCCAAACTACAAGGCAAAATTTACTTCCTGCCTTCTCTAAGACTATTTCCCTGACTATGATAGAAAACAGTAAAAAGGCATATTTAGAGAATATTTAATATTTTCTAGTCATGTACTAAATACTTTATGTGAATTATCTCATTTATCCTCAAAACAGCCCTAATAAGAAAGCCACTGTTATTTCCTCCAATATTCACATGGAGAAACTGAGACCAATGGGTGTGTATTTATTTCCTCAAGGTCACGTGGGGAGAACCCTAGAGCCTTTGCCTCTACAAGATACTTTCTCTACTGCTGCACTGCACTTCCTGTTTAAATGGAACAAGCCTGATGATCCTGTCCAGATTTACATCATAGGAATCCTTGGCTCCGCACTGTTTTCTCTCTGTGTGGCCAAGAGAACCTTCAGTTCTAACAGGGCTTCCTTGTGTCCACATTAGCAAAGCTGGGCCTCAGGAGCCCCATGCTGGCACATCTGTGTCAGTTTAAATGCTGGGTACTTACAGAGCAGATGGCTGCTACACTCAGAGTCCCACTCACCTACCAAGCTCTGCTGGTCCTCTCCTTCACACAGCAGTGAAGGTATTGACACCTAATCCTTGGAGGAAGGTGCTCTCCAAAACCACCTGCTTTACCACTAAGGTCACTGCCCATCATGATTGGTCATGTTCATACTGAGCATTCAGAACATCGTTCTATTAAAAAATCCTCCAAGGTGTTTATGTTCCTTAAAAGCAAATAAGGACTGGTGTTCATCAGTGTGTGCTAATTAAAAGAAAAAATAAGACCTGATGGGAGAAAGAAGGAAAATAAATGCAGACAATGGAGAATGGTACCATTTTGGTACCCACAGGGTAACAAAAAATGACCCACACCACCATCCAGAGTAATGACAGTGTCATGGTGAGTTTACCTGTCCATCTGAAATGGCCTGTGTACTTCAGAGGCAAGGCACTATGCAAACCCAAGGCAGGAGATGGTTGCAAACCACTCAGCATCCACGCACACCTGGGACTCAGTCTTGGCGACCAGCTACAGAAGCATGAGCCCAACATCTTCACTAGCATCACTGCCACAGAGCGTTCCTTCTGTCTGTCACTGTTCTAACTAATCATCACCTCGGGCTCTCATGCATCCTGCAGCAATAGGGAGCTCTGCTGAGACACAAACCTACTCCCTTGGGATTCTGCCACACAGACGGCTGGTAATGATTTTTTAAAATGCTCATTAAAAACCATTCTGAAACCATTTTATTTCTTGGGTGAAAATGGCATTGCATTAGCCTTACCAGACCTGTGCCTGAAATCTAGAAGAAAATTGTGCAGAAACACAGAGTTAATTTACTCAAGTAAGCACACACCTGCTTTCTGCATTACAGAATGGTTCTATTTTCATCCCAGCAGCTGTCCCTGGGTCTGAGTTACATAAATGAATAATGCATTTAATATGTTATTAAATGGGGCCCGCTGCCTCGGTAATAACAAGGCAACTTATGATTATGTCAGAGCTGAGCTCTGAATATTACTGGGATGCATTTAGTTGAGGAAGCATTCTTCAATATGCCAGGAAGAAAAGTGCTTTGTAATGGCCAGGGAGCCTTTGTACAATTACTGAAAAGGAAACATTCCGCAAATGCGGCTTTGATATCACTTGCAGCTCATCAGCAGACAGTGCCTTAATACTCCAACAACCCTCCTCTCAGCTGTTCCCTTCCTTCCTCTCTGGATGTGCCACTGTCACCTTTTCCTTTTTACCTACACCTTTGATTTTTGCCTCTGTGTTGCCTGCCAGTCTTAAAAAAGATGAAGGTCACATTTCTTTTCTCTGTGAGAGTGAAACCGGAAAGCAGCACTGAATGGCTCCACACTCTGTGATTTTCTTTTCTACTTGAGCATATTCTGTTCCTTTATGCATTTAGGGTGGTGGTTTTTGGATACAGATCATTGCTATTCACTGTGGTTAAGGGAAAGTGTTGGCTGAGTTCAGTAGATCTCAACACTGCCTTCTGTTTTTAAAGTTTATTTTTAATTGACAAATAGTCATACTTATTGGATATTCTGTAATGCTTTGGTCTGTCTAGACACTGCAGACTTGAAATAATTGGTGTGTTCCTCACATCAATTTATGTTTTTATGGTATAAGAGTGTTAAAAACTTTTTTAAGAAAGTTTAAAACATACATTATTACTCAGCATGATCACCCTGCTGTAGAGAGCTCACTGGAACCATTCACCCCATCTAACTGAAACTCTGTATGTGATTACCATGTCTCTTTGTGTCCCTCTTTCTCCACCCTGACCTTGGAAACCACCTCTCTGCACTCTCCTTCTCAATGACCAACTTTTCCCAAGAACATGGGGAAGATTACGTAGTGTTTCTCTGTGCCTGAATAATTCCACTTGACACAACATTCTCTAGTTCCATCTGTGTTGCGAATGTTGAGTTTCATTCTTTTTAAAGACTTTCTAGTATTCCATTGTGTATCTCCATCATATTCCCTCATCCTCTGATGGACCAGTTGCTTCTATATCTGGGCTTCTGTGAGCCCCACTTCAATAAACAGGAAAGTGCTCCTATGGCTCCAGCATCTCCTATGATCCAGCGATCCCACTACTGCTGTGTGATCCTCTGCCTCACTTTGGGGTACTGCAAATATATATAGATGACCAAGTCCTAGGAATTCTAATTTAACAGAGAAATTTGCATATCAGTTTGTTTTTGTTTCCCCTGGTGATTCCTGCCCACACCCAGGTTTAAATATTACCACCCTGAAAGCTAACACCAGCGTGGTAGAAACAAACTTTCTGAGTTTGAACTCAAGACCTTATGAATAGGAACTTGGGCAAGTTAGTGGACCTTTCTCTCATCTTCAGGTTCCCTGCTTGTAAAATAGGGGCAGCTGCAAACATTCCTTAAAGAATTGATTGTGACGGTGCCTTAGTGAAGGTTTGTCACAGATTCTGACATGTTGCAAGAATTCTATAAATCCTAAAATACAAAAACTTGGTTCTTCAATATTAA